CCCCACAACGGGGCGGATCTCGGGGGCGATCGGAAAAGAGAAAGAGGAGCCGAGGGAGACCGAGGAAGGACGGCTCAGGCCCGTTCCGGTCTCCCTCGATTGAGACCGATGCATCTATCGGGACGCGAATGAGGGGAAGGGTGATGGAGGGCTTACGGGCGGCCCGCCTCATCCAACCAACTGTGTCCGGGGGTGAGGATGCGGGGATGGTGGGCGCGCCTCTACGCAGAGTCCACATCCCCTCCTCCTCATTTTTCTGCCCGGTCCAGAGGAGAGAGGTGGACCGGTGCATTGCGCTGCTTCACGAAAGCTCAACCACAGATGTCGCCGGCATGGTTGACAATTGGTTGACTGAAGCTGAGTCGGCGCGTGCCCGGTCGGGAACGCTACAGGGCGGCTTGAGTGGTAAACTCAAGATGGCCCTACATCTTTCCAGGGAGGCCGCGCTTCTGCTGGCCTGTAGGGCGATGGAGACGTCCGTGTCGACCGCGATCGACGTGGACCGAATCGCTGTACTAGGCCGGCAGAACGCGGTGCTTAGAGGCAAGGTGGATTGTCTCCAAGGGGAGCTGGACAAAGCCTCTGCTGCGTCCAGGTACCTGAGGAGGACGAGGGAGGTACCGGGTGTCTTTGCGTCGGCGAGGGGTTCATCCTGCGAGCCGGGCCCTCCCCCGGGGTATCTGGGGCTGCGGGGTCGACCAGGGACGTCTCTCGACGTCCAGTCTCTCCTGTCGGTCAGTCCGGTGACCCGCACGTTCTCGGTCTCTTGGCCGAGATAAGTACAGCTCTCGCCGAACTGGATTCCAGACTCGTGAGGCTGGAGGGGCAGCCTCAAGAGCCTGTCCGCGGATTGTCTGGTGCTAGGCATGGGGTTTCGGTCTCCAGCCGCGCCGGATCTGCGAGCGGTAGGGCCTTTTCTAAAGGTTCTTCCAGGCGGCTTCTTTGTCCGCCGCCGCTCGTCGTGGGGCGCGTGGGAGGGTTGCGTTGGAGTCAGGCTCTGTCCCGGCTTCGCGTAGCCCCTCCCGCGAGCCTGGGGCGGTTGGGGCGGGCCGAGGAGCCGAGGAAAAGAAAGAAGAAGAAGACGGGGAAGAAAAGGGAGGAAGGGGTACTTCTGCCGCTGGGGGTGGGGGCCCGCGGGGTGGTGCGGGGCCGTCTGGCGCCGGTGGTTCATCCACCGGTGCTGGTCTGCGTTTAGGGAGCCCTCTGGACCTGGCGGGGAGGACCCTTCCGCCCCTGATGCGATTCCGGGTCCCTCGCGCGGGGGTGATTCCGTCCCGTGAACCGAAGTCCTAGGTAGGAGGGCTGCTACTGCTAAGCAGCCCTCTTCGTACAAAAAGGGGACAAGGCTTGGCGCGGATGATGGCGGG